TACTTTTGTGTTGAACTTACACACTTAAGTTCCACAGTTCTGAGAGAAAAAATCACTCTATTTTACTTCTGACTCGACTTTCTAAATGGTATGAGAGCAGAGGATTTAGGGGGTTCAAGGTTTAGGCACCCTGACATTCACAAAAACCCTGTTCAGCTGTGTCCTAACCCTGTAGGGGCCTAAATTCTCTAAGCACCTATGTTTCCATTAGTAAAGTCCCCCTAGGCACCTACATTTCTGTTGGTAGGCATGTGCACAGTGCCTAAATCCTGATGCTGCACTGAGCTGCTTGGTGTCTAGCTCACACCGAAGCCCCAGCAGGATTCACAAACTAAATGTTCTTCTGCCCTCACCAGTGGGGCCTGATCTGGTCTCCCACATATTCAGTGTTCAAACCACTGGGCAGTTGGGTATAAAGGTGGTGGCACCACTGCTACCTCCTCTATTTTTTCACAAGAAAGAAGCGAGCTGGCTTAGGTACCTAGCTTCAGGAGAGAGTTCATGGCTGTGCACCTTGAGTGGAGGATGGCATCTTCTTTCGGCCTAGAGATTAGGCAGGGGCTAAGCCAGCCACCTCTCTTCTGCGTTTCCTATTGGCTAGCCTAGGTTGCTTCTGGCTCAGTGTGATGGATTCTATTCATCTCTTTTTAGGCACCTAATTCTCCCCATGCATTGTATAGGGAGCCTGGCTAATAAACGAGGTTGTAAATTCCACTAGGTGGCAGGGCACCTAAAAGTTAGGCACCGCAATGCCCAAGTTCCCCTAGTGAATCCCCATTATTAATTATTATTATTTTGGTTTCATTACACTGAAACCTGACCCAAGTCCCTTCTTAGAACTCACTCTTGGCATGAAGCTTACAAAAACTGAGAATGAGGGAAGTAACTATTAAAAAACCCCAAACCAAACAACAGCAAGAAACTGCAACACAAAGAGTAGCCACCATTTTAAGCACTAGCCTTGATAGCTGTGCCAGCTTTGTCCTTCCTCTTTGCTTTGCTAAACTCTGGCTATCATGTTAAGGTAGACGGTAAGAACAAGTGGAGTAAGCTGTCTAAGGGCAAAGATAAATGTAATACTCCAATATCCTATATCGTCAGAGACTAAGCAAGGACATTTCAGAAGGAATCAAAGGTTTTCCTATGAGCTTATGACACTGTGAAAGACGGGGTTCTTATTACAGTAACTCCTCGCTTAACGTTGTAGTTATGTTCCCGAAAAATGCGACTTTAAGCGAAACGATGTTAAGCGAATCCAATTTCCCCCATAAGAATTAATGTAAATGGAGGAGGGAGGGGGTTAGGTTCCAGGGAATGTTTTTTCACCAGACAAAAGACTATATATATTATATATATATACACACACACACACAGTGTAAGTTTTCAACAAACAATTTAATACTGTACACAGCAATGATGATTGTGAAGCTTGGTTGAGGTGGTGGAGTCAGAGGGTGGGATATTTCCCTGGGAATGCCTTGCTGCTAAATGATGAACTAGCACTCGGCTGAGCCCTCAAGGGTTAACACGTTGTTGTTAATGTAGCCTCACACTCTACAAGGCAGCACGAATGGAGGGAGGGGAGACAGCATGGCAGACAGAGACAGAGACTCTCACCTGTGTGTGAGAGAGATGTGCATTGCCCCTTTAAGTACGCTGACCCCACTCTACGTACATTGCCTTTTTAAGTAGATCAGCAAGTTGAGACAGCCCCTACAGCCAGCAAGCTCCCTCCATCCTGAGCCCTGTCCTGTCTCCCCCCTGCTCTATGGAGACGGGGTAAGCGGGGGGCAGGAGCAGGGGGAGGGGGACACCCTGACATTATCCCCCCTCTTTCCTTCCCTTGTACAGCAAGCAGGAGGCTCCCGGGAGCAGCTCCCAGGCAGAGGGCAGGAGCAGCACATGGCAGTGGCGGGAGGGCCAGCTGAACTGCCCGGCAATTGATAGCCTGCTCGGAGGCTGCTGCACAGGGAACTTAGGGGAGCGGGGAGCAGATGGCGGGGCTGCCGGTCCACCCTGGTTCCAAGCCCCCACCAGCTAGCTCCAATGGGCTGCTCTTTCTGCAAGCAGTGGACAAAGCAGGCGGCTGCCAAACAACGTTATAAGGGAGCATTGCACAACTTTAAACAAAGCATGTTCTCTAATTGATCAGCAATGTAACAATGAAACAACATAAACCGGGATGACTAAAAGTGAGGAATTATTGCACATGCTTGGAGCAGTATGGTCTTTCAGCTGCTCTTCTGACAAGACCTCAATCCTGTGTATCTCTCTGGGTGTCAATTTATACACTACATATAATTATTCTTATGATATTGTTCCTGTGAAATGTTGAGATACCCAAGACACTGTGCTATGCTTATATATTTCTGTATCTATATTGTTCCTCAGGCTTCCATAATTTTATCACTGATGATATGTTATTTGTGTGCAGATGATATCAAAACATATCCCCTTTGTCAAATCTTCCTGCAGCAATCTCAGTACTCACTGATTGAAACTAAAGACCTAATCATTCAGAACCCTTTCAGAATAAATACAGATAAAACACGGGCTGCTTCTAAGGAGTACTCATGAGCTTTTTGAGGCCTACGGGGGAAGAGAAGGAAGTTGCTGTTTTGCTTCCATCTTAGCACCTTCCAGTAGGAGTAATTTGTCCTCCTCAACAATGGCTCAAAGAGGACTTCAGAGGTAAAATCCTGGTCTTATTGAAATCAATGGGAGTTTTGTCATTGACTTCAATTGGGCCCTAGTATCGGCCTGGAATCTTAACACAACCTCAACCCTTCATGCAAGAAGCATATTAGTTCCAGTCAAACTTCCTTTTCCTGTTTGGAAACATGGGCCTACATGAACCACAGTGAAGCAGCTAAGTGCTCTGAGGTAGTTTGATAGGAAAGGCAATGTTAGTATATCTTTGTTTATTACAATCTCATTTTTCCATATCTAAGCTGAACATAATGCTGCCGGTCATAATTATTAATAGTAGATTCCAGCAGATATATAATAAAGAATCCAGAGCCACTATTTGCTTTGTTATAGTATAAATAAAAATGTTGATAATATATTGCACTGGGGGTGAAATTCTATAGTAATGTTAACAGTTATAGTATCAAAAGACATCTTTATAAATCACAATGAACTTTTAGAATTCATAATTTCAATGTATGTTTAGAATTTACAACAATGGATTCACAATTTTCAACATCAAGAACATCAACAGATTTTCTCTAGTGCAAATTTAGCATCTAAGGATATGATAGAAAGCACCTGCTGGAGGATCTCATTCATCCCTTGGGTTTCTACAGTCCTGTTCTCTACACAAAAAATATGTGGGTCTTTTATCCAGGCTATTTTTGAACATCTCTACAGTTGGTGACTCAGCAAGCTCCCTCAGCATATCGCATGCTAGATGTTATTTTTAATGTCTTTCTTTTAATTAACCGTTCTGTTTTCCAAAATAACTAGCACTAACTATTTAAGTTCTACACCAACTCATTAATTTCAACAGAGAGTCCTGTGGCACCTTTAAGACTAACAGATGTATTGGAGCATAAGCTTTCATGGGTGAATACCCTCTTCGTCAGATGCATGTGGGTATTCACCCACGCAAGCTTATGCTCCAATACATCTGTTAGTCTTAAAGGTGCCATAGGACTCTCTGTGGCTTTTTACAGATCCATACTAACACGGCTACCCCTCTGATATTTGTCATTAATTTCAAACATTTGGGGCATGATCTTCAGCTGGTGAAAATCTGTGAATGCACTTCAATGGAACTGTGCCAATTTATACCAGCGGAGCACTTGGCCCGTTAAGAGCCAAACTCTATCCTGATACATTAGCATCCAGCTATCTCTGCATTTGAAGGGGAAGAATGTAGCATTTGGCTCTCAAACTTGCAATTGTAATGGCAATTTGTTTTCAAGGGTCATTGTCAAGGCTGATAAATAATAAATATTTCTTCAGCCTTCTTTTCTTGTATATCTTTATCCAGGTCATGCATTTTTAAAAACCCTTCCCCCCGCAAAAAAACCCCAAATGGTTCAAGTGCTTTTTTTGGTAAATATATGCCAACATACCCCACTTACACAGGGAACTCTGCAACTTACAAATTAACATGCAGTATGTGTGAAAAAGAGATAAAGCAATTTCAGTAAGCAAATACATTTCCAGGGTGGTATTACATTGGTCTCAAACTTTTCTATACTGGGATCCTGTTGATGTTGCTTCTCATTTAGCTAGAACATCCCTTTTACTTAGCAATATAGGAAGGGTAGGGTGGTGATGACTGCAGACTGAGAACCCCAGGTGTATTGTGAACAGAGTACAGTATCCCTAAGGACAATGTATGTCTCAACAGTGTGTCTACCCTATGTCTTCCGACTGAAGAACTGATCTCTCAGACTGTGATGCAATTCCTCTTACATTCTTACTCAGTCCTGTCTAGCTTCTGTAGGGATTTCAACCAATCATACCCAATTAAAAAAGACACTTTAGACATCATGTACATCTTTTCCCACAAGGCAGTAAATTGGCACCACCACAGTGATGCAGCTGTTTGAGTAAAAGGGCTAGTGGAGTACTTCATTTATTAAAGCACCCAAAACCTCTGGACCATTTTATTCTGTTTGTTACTCTGGCTGTGAGGTGCCGAAATAGTACTACTTTGCACCTTTAATATAACGACTACTTTACAGAGCTGGATATGGGTTATCCCCATTTGAAGATGGGGAATAAGAGGGTAGCGGTGAGACTCTCACTCTGTCAGATATGCAGAGGATGTTGGGATGGGGAGAGAACAATGATAATCATATAAGATCAACTGGAAGACAATCAGTACAAATATTAGGCACTAATCCCTTTAAATGAGTCCAAACTATTTTAAGCTCTGAGGTCAACAGGGCATGAGGTTTCCTTTTGGTTTTGATCATGTAATAACAGATGAGCCATTTAAAAAGACCGTGTAGTGAATAGGTAATGACAACAATGTTCCTTACCTGCTTGTTCATAAGTATGTAGATAATTGGATTGCATACGGTACTGCTCTTTGCCAGGATGGAAGGTATGACATATGCTACTGGAGAAACTGCACCTGGACTACCAAATGTTGCAAGCAGTGCTATAACTCCATAAGGCATCCAGCATATTAGATAACAGATTATTGTAGTAATCACCATGAAGAGAACATGGTATTCCCTTTTACGGGCAGCATTCTTCCGGATTTTTCCAACCTAGTGAAAGGTAAACAATAATATCGAATTATGAAGAAGCTAGAACTGTCGTTTTATCGCTCAAACAGCTTATAAATCTCAGACTACAATTCAAAGTATCACATTCTGACTGACAAAAATAACTATAGAAGCAAACTGAGGGCCTGATCCAAAACTGATTGAAGTCAATGGGAGTCTTGCCATTGACTCCTCCGGACTTGGATGAAGCACTGAGTGCATAATGCTATCTGTCAATACAAACCAGAATTCCACTAGAGTTTTAAGAAAAGGCAGAAAGATGACAAAGTCATCACTTATTTTTTCTCGTCTCCTAAAACATCCTCAGGTGTTTTATAAAAGATGTACAATAATTTAACTCAGTTTTTTCTAGTATACAGGACTTGTTTGAAATGGAATAACTTCATGATATTTACATAGGACCATTAAAAGTTTATCTGGTTGAGATATCAAAATGAACAAAACATTATTAGCACATGTCCTGAGAGTTATAACAAACTTTCTCTTACTGGACTGTTTCGACTATATCCATACCCCTGATGGCCTTGATAATATTAGTGAGTGCACAGAAAACACATATCCCCCTTAAGCAGAAACCTCACTAGATACTGAAGAGGAATAGACTGTGTTTTGTGAATATGTTCCCTTTTTTTTTTTGTTTCTCCAAGTGCCCCCTACACATAGAATATTCTTCCTGATCATCTATGCCACCGAACCTCCTTGCTCCTCCATCCCCCCCTACTTACAGCCCGACTTTTCCCACAATATTTTAAACAATGATCCTCTCATTAATAAAATAAAAAGTGTAATTCTAAAAGACACTCTCTTTAAGGCCTCTTAACCATGGCAGAGAGGGATGGAGGGACCTTGGTGAAAATGAGTCAGACCCAAAGGATCTAGAAACAAAAGGGCAGCTTACATTAATAGAAATTGTCAAACACTTCAAACAAAAAACAGATAAGAGTTTGAAGTGAACTGATTTTGGACAGATTCTGTTGTAGACTGCAGAAATGCACGTAATGAAGGCTCTGCTCTGGTCCAGGGAAAAAACATGTACGTGAAATCATTAGAGCTGAAGGTGGAAACTGTTGACAATTTGAGAGGTATAGTATCTTCCATTGCAATCTGCAGCACTTAAGCCATGCAAATTCTAATGGCATTTGTATGCTCAGCCCTCTATATACTAAGTTGAGAGAGCGAGAGCGAGAGCGAGAGAGAATGTATGTATACACCCCTGACTGCGAGTTATCAACAAATATTATTATTTACTGTGATTAATGTGAAGTTATATGGAAGGCAGAGTAATATGATGTGATGTCAGTCTTTTTGGTGTAGTGTCTGTCTGGTACCACAGTAGCAAAACAAATACATTTTACTCTAGCGTGTGTACATAAAGCAAACACACTACTGCACTACACAGAAGGATTTTGCCAAATTTCCCAGGGCTTTCTAATACCAATTCTCTCTGTAAGTAGCAATAAAGAAATCTGGCTTTTCTGAAAATGTAGGGGGAAAAACATTTAGTAGGAACAAAGCTGCTTATATATCCATTTTATCCTATGAGACATATTAATAGATGAAAGGTCCAATCATGCATTGCTTGTTCATATAAAACTCCCACTGGCTGTAATGGAAATTTTGTCTGATTACAGAGAGCAGGTCCAGCTCCTCTGGGAGCTGGAATAATATTAGGGACTTAATATTAATAGAGGCAGGCAAAGTCCCCAGCTCAGCCATGTTAATCAGAGTTAAAGGTTACCAGTGAAGGCAGGGGACTCAGTCAGCACATTTGTGCTCCCTATTTTAGATAATGGCCCTGCCCTAAAGAGTTTACGAAGAAGGGAGGCCACGTAAAAGCAAAGTGCTCATGCTGTGATGTTTGGCACACAGCTAGCTAGTTCCATGGGTTTTATGGGTTTATTTTTACCGGTGTTGCCAACTCTTGTGATTTTATTGTGAGTCTCACAATATTTGATGTTTTAGTTAAAGCCCCAGCTCCTGGAAACAAGGGATTATGTGAGCATCTCAACAGTCATTTAAAAAAGGAAATTTCTAGCCCTCATGGTTGCAGAGAAAAGCTTGAAAATGTGACCCAAGTGCACCCTAAAGGCTCAAAAGCCAGAAGGCAAATAAAAAAATTGCCAAATGTATATTTTTAAAATCTCATGATTTTTAAGGGGCCTGACCCATGATATTTTTATGTTTGGAGTTGGCAATACTGTTATGTGTTTATGTGATCATGCAAGTTAGGTGATTCCTGATTTTTTTATATCATGCTCTTCCCTACCCTCCTTCCTAATAATAATCCCTAGCTCTTATATAGCACTTTTCATCCGTCGATCTCAAAGCAGTTTACAAAGGAGGTCAGCAGCATTAGCCCCATTTTACAGATGGGAAACTGAGGCTCAGAGGGGGGATGTGACTTGCCCAAGGTCATCCAGCAGGTTAGTGGCAGAGCTGGGAATTAAACTCAGGTCTACTGCGTCCCACTCCAGTGCTCTATTGGCTAGTCCTGTCCATATGCCCCATTCCTTGTCAATCAATCTTCTTTCTCGTCCTGCTTCAGCTCCCTGTCCCCATCACAAACCTTGACCTCACATTTACATTCTAGAGCAGGGGTAGGCAACCCATGGCACGCATGCCAAAGGCGGCACGCAAGCTGATTTTCAGTGGCACACACTGCCTGGGTCCTGGCCACCGGTCCTGAGGGATCTGCATTTTAATTTAATTTTAAATGACGCTTCTTAAACATGTTAAAAACCTTATTTACTTTACATACAACAATAGTTTAGTTATATATTATAGATTTATAGAAAGAGACCTTCTAAAAACGTTCAAAGTATTACTGGCATGCAAAACCTTAAATTAGAGTGAATAAATGAAGACTCGGCACACCACTTCTGAAAGGTTGCCGACCCCTGGTCTAGAGTCAGTACTATTTCATTAAAATCAACCAATTAATCACACACAACCAGTTAATCCTCACTTTAGAATTTGAAAGCTCCCAGACCTAGGGTTGGGGCTTAGGGTACTGGCCTCACCTACTGTACCTCCTTGCCATTTCTCAAAGCAGCTCAAGTCCAGCCACTGCTGCTTTTAGTGGTGGTGGACGGAGAGGGCAGGGATTTTGAGTCGGTCTGCTGCATTCTGGGATGTCTTTAGCAAACCAAGACGTGCCAGAGAATATCAGGAAGTGCTGGAATGTTTAAAAGGGTAGCTAAAATGTAATTATGTTCTGCAGGGGTGTTCAACCTACGGCCCGCAGGCTATGCACAGTCCACAAGAGCATTTCATAAAGCCCATAGCCTGCTTCAACACAATATACTAGCAGGCCATTCATTAGCGTTTTGTTATCATGTTTACATCATTTTAGTTTACACAAATAAACTTTAATAGCTTTAATAGCTGAATAGCTTTGACAGGATAACGCCTTGTAGATGGGGGGAAGCTGAAGATGTGGTATATCTTGATTTTAATAAGACTTTTGATACTGTCTTGCATGACCATCTCATAAACAAAGTAGGGAAATGCAATCTAGATGGAGCTACTATAAGGCGGGTGCGTAACTTGTTGGAAAACTGTTTCTGGAGAGTAATTATCAGTGGTTCACAGTCAAGCTAGAAGGGCATAACAAGTGGGGTCCTGCAGGGATCAGTTTGGGGTCTGGTTCTGTTCAATATCTTCATCAATTATTTAGATAATGTCATAAAGAGTACACTTATAAAGTTTGCAGATGATAAGCTGGGAGGGGTTGCAAGTGCTTTGGAGGACAGGATTAAAATTCAAAATGGTCTGTACAAACTGGAGAAATGGTCTGAAGTAAATAGGATGAAATTCAATAAGGATAAATACGAAGTACTCCACTTAGGAAGGAACAATTAGTTGCACACATACAAAATAGGAAATGACTGCCTAAGAAGGAGTACTGCAGAAAGGGATCTGTGGGGCATAGTGGACCACAAGCTAAATATGAGTCAACAGTGTAACGTTGTTGCAAAAAAAGCGAACACCATTCTGGGATGTATTAGCTGGAGTGTTGTAAGCAAGACACGAGAAGTAATTCTTCCGCTCTTCCCAATGCTGATTAGGTCTCAACTGGACTATTGTGTCCAGTTCTGGACACCACATTTCAGGAAAAATGTGGACAAATTGGAGAAAGTCCAGAGAAGGACAACAAAAATTATTAAAGGTCTAGAAAACATGACCTATGAGGGAAGACTGAAAAAACTGAGTGTGTTTAATCTGGAGAAGAGAAGACTGAGAAGGGCATGATAACAGTTTTTAAGGTAAAAGGTTGTTACAAGGAGGAGGGAGAAAAATTGTTCTTCTTAATCTTTGAGGATAGGACAAGAACCAATGGGCTTAAACTGCAACAAGGGCAGAGTAGGTTGGACATTAAGAAAAACTTCCTGTCAGGGTGGTTAAGCACTGGAATAAATTACCTAAGGAGGTAGTGGAATCTCTATCATTGCAGATTTTTAAAAGCAGGTTAGACAAACACTTGTCAGGGATGGTTTAGAACAGGGGTGGCCAAACTGTGGCTCCATAACCACATGCGGCTCTTCAGAAGTTAATATGCGGCTCCTTGTATAGGCACCGACTCCGGGGCTGGAGCTACAGGCGCCAACTTTCCAATGTGCTGTGGGGGGGGGGTGCTCACTGCTCAACCCCTGGCTCTGCTACAGGCCCTGCCCCCTCCCCTGAGACTGCCATGCTCTCGCTCCTCCTCCCCCCCTCCCCACAGAACCTCCTGCATGCCATGAAACAGCTGATCAGGAAGTGTGGGGCGGGAGGGGGAGGCGCTGATTGGCGGGGCTGCCGGTGGGTGGGAGGCGCTGGGAGCGGGGGGAGCTGATGAGGGGGCTGCTGACATATTACTGTGGCTCTTTGGCAATGTACATTGGTAAATTCTGGCTCCTTCTCAGGCTCAGGTTGGTCACCCCTGGTTTAGACAATACTTAGTCCTGCCATGAGTGCAGGGGACTGGACTAGATGACCTCTTG